TAAATTTATAAATAATATCTAAATCGCAAATATACTCTTTAGAAATAAATAGAGAATTTTTTGAAGACTCTCTACACATTACACACTATATTTTAAAAATGTATACTTTGCATGTTATATTGTACAGTGTGTTAACAAAAAAAATAAGTAATAATAATAATAAATAACTTTTGCTAAAATATACTTACAAATGTGCCATCAAAAGTAGTCAAATAGACGAAAATATTCGTAATCCAAAATAAAATATCACACCCTTTATATTGCATTATTGTGTAAACTTGACATACTGACTTTTAGACTTTTTTTCTCCAAAAGTTCAATTACTATTCACTTTCGTCTAAGAAATTAGTTAATTTTTTTTTGCTCATTCATCTATCTCTAGATAAATTAACATTCTCTCGAGAATTTTCACTACATAAAGCCTAAAAAGTTAAAAGGATTGTTAATGTTGTATTAATATTATTGTTGCAATAGGCTGGTGAATCATAGTACTTATAATGAGTTCACAGACAATGTGGAAAGGCTGACAAAACTTGTCATGATAAGTGTATTTTATGCACTTATTTAAGTCACTAAATATGGATATTTGGGAGTACCTTTGATAAATTATAGCTTAATCTCTTCTATGTATTGTTTGTTAAGTAAAACTCGATTATCGAAAGTGATTTTAGAAGAAATGAGAGAAAACAGAGTTAAAAAGGAAGATTTTCAAAGTCCAAGGACTAAATTGTAAATATCCAAAATGTTGATTCAAACTAAGGAAGGAAGATTGAAGATTGCACAGAGTGAATTAGATGAAATCAGAAGATGAAGGATACATAGATGGAAAAGTTCTGATTGGCTAATGTCAATTTGCTGCACAATAACGGGGTATATAGACGCATCAAAAAGGATAAAGTACAAATAAAAGTTTACTTGGAACAAAAAATATAACAACGTGGGCATGTGACTACATTGAATTTCACGGGGTGCCTTTCTTCTTAGCATAGAAAGGGACACCGCGCGGCAGTAGTATGCTCCGCTAGATTACCTTCTACATTCTCTCAGTCGTTTTGGAACGAAATAAATTTTGATTACAATTTGTAGAAAGTTTGCAACATAAAAT